AAGGCAGTCACACCCCATAGGTTAAGTACTTCTGGCTTAGTCAGTGATAGAAGGGTATCACTACAAGTGAAGGCAGAATGGGGCTCCACATGGTAGAAACAAAGGAACCTCAGCCTCGCACTTATCTAACAGGATTGACAAGCTTGAAGCTGGCATGGATGAGACCAAAGACCGCGGGGAGAATGAACAAATTGACCACAGCACTGTGGTCTAGAGGGCCATTCAAGACGGAGGAATTAAAAACAACTAGAAGTTGTAGAGGACAGGATGCTGTTCTTAGCAGCCAAGAACATGAATCTAAAGGCTGTGATGCCTGTCCAGTGCCAGGGTTAAAGACATCTCAGAGCTCAAGGGAAATGTGCAATGGGATAAGGAGGATCCTGTTGTCATGGTCCTCATGAGTACCAATGATGTAGCTAAGTTTAGGAAAGAGGTTCAATTGTGGGACTATGAGCAGCCAGGAGCCCAATTAAAAGGTAGAACCACAATGGCAATAATCTCTAGATTACTATCTGAGCCATAAACAAATTGGCATAAGCTAAATAAAATCCAAGAACTGAATGTGCAGTTCAAAGATTGCAGTATGAGAAATTAGTTTTGATTCATGGGGCACTGGCATCAGTCCGGAGGAAAAAGGAAGCTGTACCACAAGGATGAACTTCACATAAGCTATGTTGCACACAGTGTCCTGCCAAATCTTATAACTAGGGGAGCAGACAGACTTTAAAATAAAACAATTTGGTGAGGGAATGCAATCACTCAAGGAAAGAGCTGGAAAATCAAAGGGAAAGGACAACTCGATAATGCAGGGTAGCCATAAGTATAATAGCAGTGGGTGTGTCAGGAAGGCAACAAGCATACAAACACTAGAATACATCGCCAAATAAGATCAGGGTTGGGAAAATGGGAAAAAGACAGAATTAAAAGCTTTCTGAACGTTCGCAGAATTCAATCAAAATGGATGAACTGATAGCGCAAACAGGAATGAGTATGATATCACAACCAATACAGACGTATGGTTACAAGACCACCAAGGGTGAGAGCTGAGTAGTCAAACTTGTTTGACATTTTCAATGGACAGGAAGAAAAAGGAAAAAGGTTGTAGGTACATCATTTAATAAAAGGTGTAGTGAGGAGTGATCTTATTCATAAGATCAAAATACAAAATCAGTTTGGGTAGAGATAAAAAAAATAGAAAAGGTAGGAAGTCACTGGTGGGATGCCTATTACAGTAGCTGCACTGCAGAATGGAGTATAATCAAATGAAAATGGAAATGTGTAAGAAAGGTAGTGCAATGCTCATGGGCAGTTTTAATCTTTATATAGATCAAGCTTATCAAATGGCAATAGAAATCTGGAGAATGAGTTGATGGACCGTATTCAGGATAGTTTCCTCCAACAATGCATTCTAAAACCAAGGAGTGAGCTATATTAAACCTGGTAATGCATATTGAAACAGAATTAATTTACCTCACAGAAAGGATCCTCTAGGTAATAGCAATCATAACGTGATGAATTTCACATTCAGTTTCAGTGTACGAAATTTGGATCTAAAATTACTAACGTAAATTTAAATAAAGCCAATTACAAGTCTGAATATAGGGTGTCTAAAATGGCTGGGAACCTAGGCTAAAAAGGTAAAAGGGTAGAGAAGCAGTGGCAAACATTTCTGGAAATAATTCTCAACCCTCAACAAGGATATATTCCATTTAGAAAGAAATACGTGAATGATACATCATCCAAAATGAGTTAAAGATTGTATCAAATTGCAAGGGCTTATAATGCTGCAAAGGTTAAGCATAGCCCAGAAGATTGGGCTATTCTTATTGGCCAACACAGGATGTCTAAGAAAAGGGGAAAAATTAAGCGTATGAGAGAAAGCTAGCAAGAATTTTGTGTCTTTCCTCTGATTGTTTTTACCAAAGAAGTGGCTGAGACTTTGAATATTATTTTGGATCTGTCTTCACAATAGCAGACACAAAAAGGAACCCACGAGTAGCAGAAAATTAAAAGGCCAGGAGGATGTTAAAACAAATACTGGAGAAAAAGTATCAAGAAAACTATTGGAACAGAGAGCTCATGGCCAGTTAACCTGCGTTTTAGGGGGTTTAAAAAAAAAGTGATAAAAGAGCAGATGAATTGGTGATAATTTTCCAACATTCCCAAGGTTCTGGAAAGGTCACAGAAGATTGGAAAACTGTAAACGTAACACCTCATTTCAAGAAAGGAGGAAGACAGAAAGGAAACTAGCCTAGTTAGCCTAAAAACTCTCTTTTGGATAAGGCTGGAATGTATTGTTGAGGTAGTAGCATATTTAGAAAATCATAACACAATCATGAAGAGTCAACATAGTTTTGTGAAAGGGGAATCATGTTTGACCAATTTAGACTTTTTTTTTGAGGAAGTAACTAAAATCTAACCAATAGAAGACAGAGGGGTTGGATTGGGGGCATTTTCAGGGCAGCAATCTGTAACTAGTAGAGTGCCACAGGGATCAATGCTGAGGCCATAATTATTTACAAAATATAGTAATCAATTGGATGATGGCAGTGAACAAGTTTGGGGAATAACAATAAAATAGGTGGGGATGCAATTGGAGAGGATTGTGCAAAGAGTATGCGGAGGAATACAGACAGGTTAAGTGAGCGGGCCAAAACTTGGCAGGTGGAACATAATGTGGGAAAATGTGAGGCTATGAACTTTAGAAGGAAGAATAAAGGAACTGAATATTATTCAAATGGAGACGAACTGCAGAAAGCTGCAGGTGAAAGGATTTGAGGGTTCTTCATGCGTAAAAGCTAACATACAAGTTCAGCGGGAAAGACAGAAAGCAAATCAACTGCTGGCTTTTACTTGTAAAGGAATGGAGTATAAAAATAGGCAAGTCTGAAAACTACGCAAGGCCATAGTTAGACCACACCTAAAATAGTGTGATAACAAGGTGTAGAGCTGGAAGAACACAGCAGGCAAAGCAGCACCAGAGGAGCAGGAAAGCTGACGTTTCGGGCCCAGACCCTTCTTCATTTTCTGGATCCGAAACGTCAGCTTTCCTGCTCCTCTGATGCTGCTTGGCCTGCAGTGTTCATCCAGCTCTATACCTTGTTATCTCAGATTCTCCAGCATCTGCAATTCCTACTATCCCTAAAATAGTGTGACAGCTTTGGTCCACATATCCAAGGAAAGATATATTGGCATTGGAGGCAGTTAGGAGAAGGTTCACCTGGGCATGGAGGGATTGTCTTATGAGAAGTTGAGTAGGTTGGGCTTGTACTCATTGGCATTTAGAAGAATGAGAAGCAGCCATATTGAAACACATGATTCTTAGCTGACTTAAAGTTGATAGATACTGGGAGGTTATTTCTCCTTGTGGGCGCATCTAGGATGAAAGGATGTAATCTCAGAGTATAAGGTCACCAAATTCAAGACTGAAATGAGGAGGAATTTCTTTGGAGTGTGGTAAATCCATGGAATTCTTTACTGCAAAGAGGATGTAGATTCTGAAAGACAGATATTTGATCATTAAGAGTTGCAAGGGTTATAGGAGAAAATGCAGGGAAGTAGTGTGAAGGATTATCACATCAGCATGATCTCATTGAATAGCAGAACAGAATGGCCTACATCTGCTCCTGTAACTCAGTCTACATAACAAGCAGGATAGATTGTGAGAAACCAAAAGATGCAGCGCATTCTTACGTCTTAAAGGCATTCAATAATATGCCATGTAAAAGCTTAATGCACAAGACCAGAGTTCATGGTATTGCAATGATATGTTCGCATGGAAAGAGGACTGGCTAACTAATAAGAAACAGAATCAGGATAAATGTTTCATTTTCAACTTGATAAATTACATAAAACTCATGGAAAGCAAAGTGCATTCGTACTGGGACCTCAACTATTTATACTAATGACCGAGATGAAGGGTCTAACTATACTGTAGCCAAATTGCTAACATTAGAAAAATGGGTAGGAAAGTAAGTTGAGAGGAAGATATAGAGAGTCTGCAAAGGGTTATAGGTAATTGAAATGATTGGGCAAAACGTGACACATGGAGAATATAGTGGGAAAATGTGACATTGTCCTCTTTGAAAAGAATAGATTGGCAAGATATTTAAATGGAAAGAAATTGCACAATGGTACAGTACAAAGAGATCTGGATACCCTCTCATGAATCACAAAATATCAGCATAAACAGCAAGAAATTATGAAGTAAAACAGAGTTTTGGCCTTTGTTGAAAGTGGGATGCTGGGTTTTATTTATTCTTTCATGGGATGTGGGCATCACTGTCATGGTCAGCATTTGTTTCCCATCCCTAACTGCCCCGATCTGAATAGTGCTACTTCAATCAGCAGTTAAGAGTCAACCACAGTGCTGTGGGTCAGGTGTCTCAAATCAGGTAGTCCAGGCCATTCGACCCCTTGAGGCTGCCCTACTAATCAATAAGATGACTGATTTGATGGTGGACAAGGTTCATGCATGCAAATGACCTACTCCTGGCCCTATTTCTCATATTAAGTGTTGGATTTAATGTACAATTTTAGTGAGGTTGTGAAAATGTCATTAAAATTCCAAGATTAAATATAACACTCAGGTTATAAGCAGACCAGTTCAACCTGACAAGATCAGTCAAGATGTGTTTGTGATCAGGACCAAAGGATAATGGCTTCAGTTTTCCCAACATTTAACCGAGAGACTTTTTTTTGTCTGTTACTAGATGTCAGGCACGTGATCTGATTTTTTAAAAAGATAAATGTGCAGGCTGTCATCTGTAAGCAAGTGTTTTTGTTTCAGATTTCTAAATTTTCTGAAACTTAAACCAGAGCAATGCTCAAAGAACTTGATCACAATGGCAAGAAACCTAATTTACCAGTCTAAGTTACAAATACAACAAATATTGACGTATGAAGCACAGGACAGAATTCAGTTTCAATACGTGTTATGAAACACCCCAACAAATACCAAATACAACAACCAACAATAACTTTTTTTCCACCCCACTTACCTCCACTGGCTAAAAGGTTCTCTTGTACTTTGTCCCTACTGTCTTCTAACACATCAGCCATGTACTGGGCCACCTTCTTCACAACACTGTAAAATGAGACCACAACAAAGGCTTACACATTTAACCAATACATCTGAACACAACAAAATAAAGTAGTACACCAGATTGAGAGGCTGAATGTATATGCTCCACCAAAACTGAATTCAAGAAATTCAATCGTTTATAAGCTAACACCCAAAGGTTGCACAAAAGCTGCAGATTATTGCAAAAAAAAACTCATCCAGTTCATTAATGTCTCCAGTGTGGCTATGATCTATATAACAGTTGGTTCTCTATGCCCTCTTTAAAACAAAAGCTTTGTTTCACAAACAATAAAGCTTGCTATCTTCCATGGATAATTAATGACAGGTAATAAACGTAGCCTTGCCAATGTCACCCACATCGATAGACGAAAGAAAAACATTTGACAAATCTTCTGGTGTACCAATTTCCTGTGAAATTAAGTATGGTTTTGGATTGAAGTGTGAGAGTCTGAGCTGAAATTGTCCAAAGTCATTCAACATCAAGGAATACAATTTCATCAGGTTGAATGACTTTGAATCTGAACCTGGGAGTCAAAGAACAATGGACCAAGCAATTATTCAAAGTGGCAAGCTTACACGTCTACATTAAAGAGAATTTTCACCCAACAAAACTGAACAATTCTCACAAGACAATTAAAGATTGCGTGGACGTTAATGTTGCTTGGTATACTCATAGGTTAACATCCAGCTCAAGTCAAAACGTCTTCATCTGTAAGCGCATTTTACATTCTGAATTTTGGCTTCTTCCAATTTATTCCATACTCTTAGCTCACCACATTTGTTTCCCCCCCAGTTAAAAACAAAAGTGACTTCCTCAATGTATAAAATGTACTTAATTTCAAAGCTAGAAAAATCATAAAAAGATGAAAAGTAACTTAATTGCATCCCACCGTAAAACAAAACCTTGTCAGATAATGAGACAACTGTCACATTATAAAAAAATTTGATTTCACACTTAAATGTCAATACTCAACAAACCTGCTGGCACCGCATTGATGGAAATGATGCATTCAACTATTTTGATTACCGAAGACAGTAAATTTTCCATATATTTATACATTATTTCAGTAACTAAAAGCAAATGGGCCACAAATTGGATCTAATAAATAGTAACACCATAATGCAGCAAAATATGGCTAGACATGAACTGTTCACAAGGTCACTAGTTTCAGTAGACCATTAGAAATACAAACTGACTCAAAATTTACAAGCTACTGGATTTCCAGTTCAGACCCGAATGGTGTACGCACAACGTCTAAAGTTAATCATTCTTAAACAGAGGAAAGGATGAGAAAGAGGGCAAACTAGAGTGCAAAAAAATCAATGTCAATTCAGGTACAAAAAAACAGAAAAAGGGAAACAATGGATTTGGTGCAAAGAAACAAATGAAATGAAGAAAATTAATTTTAAAATCTGACATTTTAGTCCAACAATTCAATACGTAAAGGAATAGGATTCTGCATTTAATTGTATTCCACAGAGAATTATTGCCAGTTATCAACTCAATAATTTTCAGCAATGAATTTACCTTTCTATGGTAATTAACGTGAAAATGCAGTCACTTAACTCAACACACTTTCCATAAGTGAAGAGTATAATGTCATTACTACAAAACTTACAGCAGAGCACCATGAATCAGCCTTCATTTGCGTGATTCGCAATTCATAGGGTATCACCTGCAGACAATAGGTTGCTGGTCCACCTGCACATCAGCAACGGCATGCATCATTCACACGTTATCTTTGAATTCTAGGCTAATATTAAAAAAGGGCTATATTTAAAGGGCTTAAGTCACTAGCGTCACTCTGAAGCAGTCCAAAGGATTAGTCAACAGCTCTTAGTTCAGGTAAATCTAAGTTTTAAAGTTCGCTAATAAAATCGAAGATTTATGCTGCTGTGTCAATATATCCCCAGCACTGACTGTCCACTCTGTTTGTGGCACTCCTTTGGCCTGTGACAGTTACTGAGCAGTCTGTTCTCTGGCCAGAAGAGTGTGATATAGTTGTGATCCAATAAAACTCTAGTCTTCCAACACGAGGAGAGGCCACTTTGGATTTGGTGCTTGGTAATGAACTGGGCCAAATGTTAGACCTGTTGGTAGGAGAGCATTTTGGCAGTAGCGATCATAACTCTGTTACTTTTACAATAGTCATGGAAAAGGATAGGTACATACAGCAGGGTAAGGTTTATAATTGGGGGAAGGGTAATTACAACTCTGTTAGGCAAGAACTGGGTAACATAAAATGGGAACAAATGCTGTCAGGGAAGAGCACTATTGAAATGTGGAGAATGTTTAAGGAATGCATACTGCGTGTGCTCGATATGTTTGTCCCTAGCAGGCAGAGAAGATGCGGTCGAGTGAGGCAGCCTTAGTTCTCAAGAGAGGTCGAATGACTGGTTAAGAGGAAGAACGATGCTTATATAAGGTTCAGGAAACAAGGAACGGAAAAGGCTCGAGAGGGATACAAATTATCCCGGAAGGAGGAGATGAAGAAAGGGCTTAGGAGAGCTATAAGGGGGTTTGAGAAAACCTTGGCAGATAGGATCAAGGAAAACTCCAAGGCTTTTCACACGTACGTGAGGAATAAGAGAATGACCAGAGAAAGGGTAGGGCCGATCAAGGATTGTAAAGGGAATTTGTGCACGGAGCCTAAAGAGATAGGAGAGGTCCTTAATGAATACTTTTCTTCGGTATTCACAACTGAGAGGGACCTAGTTGTAGAGGAGAACAGTGTGAAACAGGCTGGTAGGCTAGAGGAGGTCGATGTTAGTAAGGAAGATGTACTAGGAATTCTGAGGAACTTGAAGATACATATGTCCCCCGGGCCTGATGGGATTTATCCAAGGATTCTATAAGAAGCGAGGGAAGAGATCGCAGGGCCTTTGGCGATGACCTTTTCATCCTCACTGTCCACAGGTATAGTGTCGGAAGATTGGAGAGAGGCAAACGTCATTCCCTTGTTCAAAAAAGGGAATAGGGATAACCCCGGAAATTACAGGCCAGTTAATCTTACGTCAGTGGTGGGCAAATTATTGGAAAGGGTTCTGAGAGATAGGATTTATGATCACTTGGAAAGGCACAGTTTGATTCGTGATAGTCAGCATGGATTTGTGACGGATAGATCATGCCTCACAAACCTTACTGAATTCTTTGAAGAGGTGACCAAACACGTGGATGAAGGTAGAGCAGTGGATGTGGTATACATGGATTTAAGTAAGGCGTTTGATAAGGTTCCCCATTGTAGACTCATGCAGAAAGTAAGGAGGCATGGGATAGGGGGAATTGTGGCAGATTGGATTCAGAATTGACTGACCCTTAGAAGACAAAGGGTGGTAGTGGACGGAAAATATTCAACATGGTGCTCAGTTACGAGTGGTGTACCACAAGGATCTGTTCTGGGTCCTCTTCTATTTGTGATTTTTGTAAACGATTTGGAAGTAGGCATGGAAGGGTGGATTAGTAAGTTCGCGGACGATACGAAGGTGGGTTGAGCTGTGGATAGTGCAGAGGGCTGTTCTAGGTTACAAAGGGACATTCATAGGATGCAGAGCTGGGCTGAGAAGTGGCAGATATAGGGGAAACGTCAGAGGTAGGTTCTTTACTCAGAGAGCGGTCGGGACATGGAATGCATTGCCGAAGAGAGTAATGGAGTCGGCCTCATTAGGGGCATTTAAGTGGCTATTAGATAGGCATATAGGTGATAGTATAAGGTAGGGGTGGAGGTCAGATAGACCTTAGGATTAGGGTAAAAGTTTTCCACAACATCGTGGGCCAAAGGGCCTGTACTGTACTGTACTGTTCTATGTTCTATGTTCTTCCACATGTTACAATCCCATAGAGACCAATAACACTTGAAAAGAGTTGAATTTCCCAAACAACCAAGGCAAAGAACCTAAAGGCAAGATTTAACATCAAGGCTTTGGTGAACAAGCTAAAATCAAGATGGATCAAATATTAATTAACAGGAAATGAATATCAAACTGGCCTGTCCTGTATCCATGCAAATACATCACTGCAACACCAAGAGCTTTTATCATGTGCACTAAGTTTTTCACTAATACAACATATTTCTTCTGAAACTAAGAACACCCTCTAGTATCTAGAGGGCATTAAAAGGAACTCAAGCTCACTTACAACTCTTCAGCCGAGGTCACCTTTCCTCTGCTACTCCAGGTCAAAACTTCCAATGTCTTTCAACAATCATTCCGCTGCTCCCAATTTTTTTCAGATACAAATACCAACAGTAAGTCCCACCTTGACAAATCCCCTTCTCCCTCAGATGACAACATTTTTGGCAATCCAGAATTTTAAAGATTTCAGATACTGGAATCCCTAAATGGTTTAGGTAGCTCTGATAAATGTTTTTCTGCGTAAAGTATTTCCATATTCCTCTACACCAGAATACCTGTCCTAACAGAGCTCCAATACTTCTCCTACCTGCATGCCTGAGCAGCTATCCTCTATTTTGTAAGACACCACAAAAGATGTTAAAACTGCCACCTGACACTTCAACATGTTTCCAATTGAGCTTCCCACCCTAACGCAACAGAACTGATATGTTTATTAGGAATTACAATCACACCCTTTTCAAAATTGGTTAATTACTTGCAATTTAAAGTAACATTTTAAAACAATTGCAACGCAAAGCTCAGCATTCACAAAACACATTCCTGATAACTGATGTCAACTAATTAGTTATCCAACACCCAAAGACCATCTGTAGTCCACCAACTTGGCAGTCTCACCATCCTTGCCTCCTCACTGTTGTAATTATCTGCATACTATCATGGCCTACAAAGAGCAAATTGCATTGTATCATCTGACAAGATTCCACACCCAAAATTCAACAGCACACTTCAGATTGAGCTCCACTGACTAGCACATTCGGCAATCTTCAACTTCGTGCCAACAAAGCAGCACCTGAGCAGCCACTTCCTCCTAGTGAGTGGAATTGCAAGTAACCATCCCCCCCTTCCATGAGGATGTCCAACTGCTCACCACCATTAAAAACATGATCTCCCCTTCCAGCTCTTTCTCTTTGCTTCTAAATTGAACATATCAAGTTTTGTACTGCTTCACTAAACTACTTTTGGAAACTTGCTTGAGCTGCAAACACATCAATTCTCAAGTTTTCATTAATCTCTGTCCATCTCAACAGCCCCATTCAAAAGGCGCACCTAGTTCTGACTCTCCATGTGCAACACAAAGGAGGATTGACCAGTGTTTTAAGAAACGTATACTGTAGTAAAAGCAAAGTACTATTTTTCAAACAAAGCTGCACAAATGTTGAAATCTGCAAACGTGGTGTCAATAGAAAATATAATAGTGTTACCATCGCTGTATGAATCTATAAAGAATGATACTTCACTGCTAGTTTCTCCATTTACACTTCCACTTTAAAGAGAGTAAATTCAAAACAAATCAAAGTGTTTCACAGAATGAGTTCTAACACTAGGGAACAGATCCCAAGGAGAAGTGAAAGCAGAAAGTGGTGATTTATCCAAATACAATTAGATGGATGCTCCACAAGATAATATTTTGAGAGATTTAGCTGGTCAGTGTGAGACATGAACGAAGTGACTTCAGCGCCAAAAGCTTTCCACCATTGGGAGCTTGCTCATCTCATATCCAGTTTGATGTAGACTGATTAATTAATAGATTGATTGCAATGACTCCATTAATGCTATATAATGCATGTAATATCAGAGTAACAGAAGATGAATTAGATGGACCAAGGTCCTCTTTCATCCTGCAAATTTTAGATTTGCTTTCCTCTACTTCAGAGTATTTCAGTTAGCTTTTTGTTTTCTAACAAGTTTGAGGCAATCATTTCTTACTTTTTCCTAACTTGCTTTCATTCACATGTTATAATTTCAATTTGCAGTTTCTCTTTGCATTCATCTTGAGCAAATTTGACACATGCCCTTAGTCAGTCCTAAAAAAAAATTACCTTTTTTTTCCTGGACTGGAAACCAAACTAGCTGGAGAAACTTAACAGGTCTGGCAGCATGGATGGAGTGATCTCTCCACAGTTTCCCCAACACTTTTTATTTCAGAGCTCCAGTATTTTGTTTCTATTCTAATTTTTCTTTTCCATTTTTGTACGTGGGCGGGTATACTTGTACTTTTCATTTTCCATCCTTGTTTTGTTGTAATTACCGGTTCTTTATTGCACCATGTATTAAATCATTCTCTGAAATTCAAATTAGGTTTGGGAATGGAACTCAGTACATAGTTCAAATTAACAAACTTGTTAATTCACCAAGTTCGACCACAAATATTTGATCATTAAAATTAAAACTTTGAAATCCCTTGGGTTGTTGTGAAAGAGATTATTTTCATTAGGAATCAGTATAGTCTCCAAGAAAGAAAGAAAGAAAGAAAGAAATATATTAAATGTTTACATGTTTACTTTGATATCCAGCGATAAGAGCCAGTGTTCAACGCATCCTATCCATGCCACAATAAACACATCACTTTCGAAGTGGAGTCATTCTTGGCACAGTCAGGGATTATTCCCCTGCTATTCTCTAGTGTCAGTTTTACAATCTCATCCATAAGATAGCACCTTTAACAGTACTCCCGCAGCACTGCCAAGAGTAGTCAGACAAGGTTTTTGTGCTGAAAACTGGAATTGAATTTAAATCCACAGCCTGACATAGTCAGGAACAGTACCAACTGAGTCACATCTAACGCTGTCAATCACTTCTCCTCCAAGTAGTAGATAATCACTTCGATAACAAAGGAAGATTCTGGTTAACAGGGTTAAATATTATAAATCAGAAGTATCCAGAGTCCAGAATACATGGGGAATGGGTGGGGTGCCGGTTAACTAAATCTGATGGTTGTATGAGAAGTACTTAGTGGTGATTGGGAGAACTTGACTTGTCCCTGCCACAAAGTGAACATGAAGTTTTAAAATCAAGCAGCTTTAAATATTAATATACATAGCCGTAATAGGGGATTCTGTCTTTATCAATAAAAAAACTCGAACTAGCTCTAATAAAGCATCTGATCCATTGTTCCCTTCCAACAGGTAATACCAGAAAAGTCCCAGTTATCCACAATTCAGATTTCTCATGCAACGAGCATCTGAGATTCAAAAGAGGACTTCTGCATCATTAGAAACCAGGTAACGAGGATTTTGCCATATATTTTTGCACGCGTCACCCCAGTCACCCTGAACCACATTTTATTTTTGTTACATTATCTTAATATCTATCCCAAGGTTTATACCACTAAACTCTAAGTGTATAATGCAACATATCAAAAATAAAAAAAATCACTAAGTATTTCACAGGCGTACAATTTCTGCAAAGAAAAAGCAATACACGATTTTGTAACAAAATAAATCAAAGTGCATCATTTAAGCCCTACAACTATATCTATTGGATGGAATGCATTGCAAACCGATCACTGAGGTAAAAATATCTTATTGGCATAAAAGGTATACCGGCTGGTTTTTAAACAAAGTCTTAGAGAAACAATCATCGTCATGAATGTTTGAAAAGCTCCCTGCACAGGTGTATTTTTCTATGCTACATCATAACAAAGCTGATATACAATTCTTTAGTCTCCAAACCAGGGTCACTTAAGGACAATGCTTCAAAGATTACATGTGGTTTACGTAAACAAACTAACTGAATGCTTTCAAAGACTAAGCAGTAACCCACATATGATGATATTCATGCTCAAAAAGGGATAGCAATAAAAGTGTACAGTTGCTGTGAAAATCATAACTCATAAGGTAAACTCAGCACCTATTAACTGACATGCAAAACCTTCTATACTTGTTTTAAACAGAATGCTCCAGAAATAAACAGACAACAAACATTGCAAATCTAATTTCAGAGACTGTAAGAAGTATTGAACAAACTTACCCCTCCACAAATGAGTCCAACTTGGCCAGCTCGTCAGATAACCCCACTAAGACATCTAAAGTTCCAACCTAAAAAATGTAAAATTAAATGCGATACAAGAATAAGTAAAAGCATTTTCATCTAAGGACTAGAAAGCAGGCTGACCGTTTTCCTAAACAAAATAATACTAACTTTGACAGGGCAGCATGGTGGCTCAGTGGTTAGCACTGCTGCCTCACAGTGCCAAGGACCCAGGTTTGATTCCAGCCTTGAGTAACCGTCTGTATGGAGTTTGCACATTCTCCCCCGGGTGCTCCAGTTTCATCCCATAGTCCAAAGATGTGTAGGTTAGGTGGATTGGCCATGGGAAATACAGGGTTATGGGATAGGGTAGGGAGTGGGTCTGGGTAGGATGCGGACTCAATGGGCCAAATGGCCTTTTCCACACTGTAGGGATTCGATGATTCTATGTATCCTCCACAATAAGAAAAATGTTTCAAGCGTTGGAATATTTCAATCATTTAAATGTATGATTAACACTGCCAACAAGTATAAGTAGTTAGAAAGGTGAAATGACAGAATGCAGAACCTTTACAACCAATATTTCTTCTAAGATGAGCATATCGGCAACTGCAGAACAATGTGGAATGGACAAGGCATTGAAATGAAATTGGCAACTCAGAACTTTCATCAGTTCATCAGAAATTCCTAGCTTATTGCTAATCATGACTTAAAATATAAACTGTCTAGTCAATAAAAACTAGTACTCAGTAGCTTCCATCCAGTAAACAAAAATTGAAGAAAAATTGTTGCAATTATACAGTATAAAATGCAGGAAATTATGGGAATTACTATTTATTATCCGGTGTTTCAAATTAGGCGTTTCTTCATACTTGAAGAATTAACATTACAGCACTGTTTTATGACAATGATTCAAAATTTTAACTAATACAAACTCACACTCTCAACAATCCTTCCTAATTTCCAAATTTATTACAAATAATCCTTTCCACAGCTTAAATAATTGACAGGCACACAAGTGGACAGCAACGAATGAACTTCTTAAACATGTTAGCGTCTACTACAACAGTTTACATGCAAAACAACGTCTAAACATGTAGTAATCTACACCTCCAATCTTAAGTTAGTCAAAATAATTAAAATGTGTGGAATATCAGGATATTTAATAAGTTCATTTTGTCACACGAACTTAATTTTCAACTAGTTTCAAAATGTCAACGCAGAATCTATCTACTAAACCTATTTACCTAGCAATTTGACTGTTGAAATGGAGCAGTCTTTTGATCACTTTGTTGGTCTCTTAAATCCACCACTTCTAGCAATCTGACTGATTGATAGTTGTGACCCATACTCCTATTGGACTATTGATCCAAGTGGCGCATGGCAACTCATGGGCCAGGCAACAGAGAGAAATTGCTGGGCTTCTTTCCTTCCTCTAATGGTGTTTGCTTTACAGGTATGCCTCCTGTTGATCATACTTCTATCTTGACCATCAGCTCAAAGCCACACAGTGACCAGTTAAAGAATTAGGGTTCATTATCATGGCCATCTGCACTATATTTTTATTAAAAATCTGAAGTACAACCTTCGGCTCCAATTATCCAATGCAAGCTAAGAAAGATTTGGAATTACACCTAATTTTGTTCTTGACGGTCCATGTAAATCACCCAACTATTCCAACCTTGCATGATGACCACTTGAAGCTTCAGTCTTCACTTCTGCTAGATCAGCCTCAAATATTCATCTGTTTTCTGCTCAGCCCCTTCCGTATCGCACAAACATAACAGGAGAGTCATTCGCTAGTTTAACTTCTTTTACATAACTCAAAATGTCACTGTTTACATTTAACCCTGATATGAAAAAAAAAACTTACTCAAGAATGAAACATATAGACACATATTCTTGTTACGCTGGAGTCAAAACAGCTGGAAGGCTCCTCTTATCACAACTGGACCTTACTAGTTGAGGACCTCTTTGAATTACGCAAATATCAACCAAATGCCTGTAAATTAGTAGTACTCAAAATATGCATTCCACAACCATAATTTTCTACGCAATACTGACTGTTAAAAGAAATTTTGAGGGCTGACGGGGGCTACTCAACTGCACTAGAACTGAAGATTAAAGTACAGTTTAGCTAAGACATCCATCATTCTCCACATCAATTTTTTCTACGAAATTAGGCACCAGTTCTCATAGATGCCCTTATAGAAAAATTGTTACCTTAGTTATAGATGCTAAGTCTTCAGATACATCTTGGGTTTAATTGAGCTAAACTAATGAACTTCTGCAGTTAGTTTAGTAGTAAATATTCAACTTAGTGCTGCAGTCTGCAAAGCCCTTCCATTCAATGCCTGCACCAAGATTTGAATCAATGGAGTACAACAATGCAAAAGATTGTATATGTGGACTGACGAGAAAAGGTTTAACCACAACTTCACGTTCACATTCACTTCAGATCACAGAAAACAAACTTGTTAATAGCAGTGTGAAAATTAAGATTCTTTTCTACCCAATAGGATTTTTATCTTTTTAGCATTGTGTATATTTCTGTGCTCCAATTTCCACATTCTAGAATTTACATCAATTGCCGAATAAGACCAAACAATGTGTTTTCACCTTGTATCAAGCAGAAAATAGACTTTCAATACATAATTCTTTTGGGGGAAAATATAATTGGTTTAATTGCAACAGGACTTTAGTTGAGGGCATAAGTTACAAATTTGCATAATGACATGTCAAGATAGTATCATCTGAAAATGCACAAATTCAACAAATAATTTCGATTTTGTTACTGACCTTCAAATCTGGAATTGAAAACTTGTAGTTGGTAGAGAGATGGTTGTTCCTCGTTGTTGCAGCATTTAATTTGTCCCATGTCTGTTGACATGTTTTTTCCCCAGGAGCAGATATTAGCCAAAATTCTGTCATCCTCAATAAATAAATTGTTTGAAGTAAATTGTTTGAAGTAAACTGAAATAAGACAATAAAATCCAATTAATACAAAAGTATCTTCATGCTTGACTGTGCATGCAAGTCATAGAATTAGCCTTACTTTGTTTAATCATTTCATATCACCCCTGCAAAGTTAAATATAATTTACAAGGCCAGGACAACATCATATGAACCATGCATTCAGACCTACAGCAATCAAAATTGAACAGGATTCCGGCTCCCTCAAATTAAAGATCCTAAACTAAATATTTCTAAGATATATACTCAACTATTGAGGATTTGGGAGGTCATGTTGTGGCTGTACAGGATATTGGTTCAGCCACATTTGGAATACTGTGTTCAATTCTGGTCTCCCTGCTATAGGAAAGATGGAATGAAAAGGTTTTGGAAATGATGTTGCCAAGGTTAGAGGGTTTGAGCTATAGGGAAAGGCTGAATAGACTGGGGCTATTTTCCCTGGAGCGTCAAGATGCTGAGAAGTGACCTTTCATGATTTTAAAAACCTCTGAGGCATGGATAGGGTGAATAGTCAGGGTCTTTTCCCCAAGGTAGGGAGCACAAAACTACAGGGCATAGGTTTAAGGTGCGGGGGGAAAAGATTTAAAAGGGACCTAAGGGGCAACTTTTTCATGAAGATTGTGGTGCATGTATGGAATGAGCTGCCAGAGATAGTGGTGGAGGCTGATACCTTTTAAACATTGCAATTGTATCTGGATTGACTTATAAATAGGAAAGATTTAGAGGGATATGAGCCAAATGCTGGCAAATGGGACCAGGTTAGTTTAGAATATCTGATCAACATGGATAAATTGGACTGAATAGTCTGTTTCCGTGCTGTACATCTGTATGACTCTAGCAGCAAATTAATAATACTTAATGCAAACAGCTCACAAAACATACCATAACCATATTGTTCATTGCAATCTTAAAAGGGAGATGCCAAAAAGCAGCATAAAGTACATTCCTCTCCAAATGTCTTTAACATAAGAAGCAGGAGAAGCATTAGGCAATTCAGCCCTTTCAGCCTACTCCATTATTCGATGAAATCACGACTGATCCGAGTGTGGCTTTCCCTATCAACCATTGTCAGCCCCCTCACCAATCAAAAGTCTGTTAAACTCAGTCCTGAATATATTCAATGACCCAGTCTCCGTTGCTCTCTGACAGTGAATTCAGAGATTAAAAGCCCATTGAAATAAATCTTCATCTCCATCTTAAATGGGAAACCCTTCATTTTAAAACAATGCCCCTTATTTCTAGATTTCCAAGTCAGCATCTGCCCTGTCAAGTTCCCTCAGAATTTTCGCTCTTTCAAAAAGGTCACCTCTCATATTTCTAAAGTCCAATCAGTATAGGCTAACAGTATGGAAGATAATGCAGTCATTTAACAACACATTTACCTTTTTGATTTGGTCGATTTATTGTCATGCGTACCGAAATACAGTGAAAACCTTTGTTCATGAGTGGTACAGGCTCATCACAGCAAGCAAAGGATGTACAAAAAAAAACTTAGAGGCATACAGGTTACATTATTTGAGGCCAAAGTCCATTCAACAGTCTGATAACAGCAAGAAAGAAGTTGTTCCTGAACCTGCTCATGTGTGTTCAGGCTTCTGTATCTTCTGTCCTGCGGAAGGGCTTGTAGGAAGTCATTACCAGGGTGCAATGGGTCTTTGATGATGTTGGCCACCTTTCCCAGCAGCAAGCCGTGTAAATAGAGTCCATGGATGGAATATTGACTTCCTTGATGGCCTGGACTGCGCACACCACCTTCTGTAGTTTCTTAAGGTCTTGGGCAGAGCAGTTGCCATGCCAGGCCATTGTGCACAAGGACAATATGCTTTCAATGGTGCATCTGTACAAGTTGGTGAGGGTCCTTATGGACATAATAAAAACCGAAAGAACTGTGGATACTGTGAATCAGGAACAAAAACACAGTCGCTGGAAAAGCTCAGCAGGTCTGGCAGCATCTGTGAAGGTAAAAACAAAGTTAACGTTTCGGGTCCAGTGACCCTTCCTCAGACTGAGGTACTTCCTTAATCCAGGACAGGTCATCAGTTAGCGTCACTCCAAGGAACTTGATGCTCATCACTCTCTCAACCTCCGTTCCTTTGATGTAGATGGGGGCATGTTCTCCTTTCTTTCTGAAGTCGATGATCAGTTCTTTAGTTTCACTGACGTTGAGAGACAGATTGTTTTGATTACATCACGTCACCAAGTCGTCTCTCCCCCTCCTGTATTTTGACTCGTCGTTGTTAGATATCTGTCCCACTACGGTAATGTCATCAGCAAACTTGTAGATGGCATTCATTCAGAATTTGGCAACGCAGTCGTAGGTGTGCCTGGTGTACCAGGGCTGCTTAATGCTACTGATAAACCTGCATTTTATAGTGGCTTTCAAGGCCTCTGGGCATCAAAGACATCCCAACAAATAAGTGATTCAACACAGCAATTTCAATGAATTAAATAAGGTAACAAGCAGAAATTTCTAGAGAAACTCAGCAGGTCTGGCATCATATATGGAGTGAAAACTGAGTTAACATTGAGTCCATTGAGCCTTCTTCAGAACAGAAGAACACGTTTTCATTTGTTTAGTGAAATTGGTTGAAAGCTAAATACTGGTCATAACATGAAGACATCTCTGTTGTTCTTTGAATAGTGCTATGGGGCCTTTTATGTTCACAGGAGGACAAATATAGTGCTGTCTAATTTCTCATCTATAAGAAAACACCTCCAATTATTCAGCACTTAAATAGTAAATTAACCTGTAATTTGAAGAGCATTACTTGGAACCTCAGTGCTTGCATCAAACAGATAGTTATGAAAACAAAAATGTTCAGAGATTAGAAAGGAGTTGGTACTTTGAAGTAGTCTAACCTTGAATCGCCTTGACACTACATCTTTAAAAATGATCTATTGTATTTTATCTGACATCAGGCGTCAAGTAGTTGCTCCATTTAAACTACTGCAGTGCAATGTGTGATGTATTGATAGGGAATCTTTCTTAACATTTTGATTTTAAAATAGTTAGTGTGCAAAAGTGCATACAAGTGTCAGTCCACATTATGACAGCTTAGATTGTGTAAGAGTTAGACCAAATTCAAGCCGATTTAAGAGGCCAGAATGCTGCAGAGAGCCATGAAAGTTCAAATGTTCTAATCGTCAGATGCAATAAACACCAGCTAGTAATTTAGTAGTTTACTAACTATATCAGTAGTTTATATGTGCATAATGTATATTAGAACTCTGAGCGAACTAAATGCAGACACTCAACCCAATCTAATGGACAAAGAAAAAGTAGGTAGTAGAGATGAAGGCAGGTAAAGCTTGCGGCCTTGATTACTGCCCAATACTTCAGTGTATTAAATTACAGTTTAGATGAGGTACTTAACACCTTCATGCAGAAAAATTAAAAATTGATTTGAAACAAGCTACAAATTGAGTGCAGAGGCCAAATGTTGTACTTTCTTCTGATATAACAATAAAACTATATTAACATTATATAGGCAATATATAAAACCCTGCCAGCCAAATAGAAAACAAACGAGTATAAAATTGTTTCAAATAAATAACCATTGCAAAAGCCAGCTTTTACATTCTGCTGACTTGGAGATGTGATTATAAGTAGCTTTTAATTATACACTTTAGCCTTGAGACTTGAATGAAAAACTGCCAATTTTGTTCCAAATTATAATTCAACCTTTTTACCCGGAGATTTTTTTTTGAAGAAAACTACCTGCCTATAACTAAAGAGAGTGACATATAGGTATCATAATCTACATTAAACTGATCCCTAACAGTTTACCCAGTAAAGCCAACAGATCTTTATCCAACAGATAAAGAAATACAGTACAAAAGTCTGGGCCTCAATTACCAAGTAGCGCAAGTTGGCTGTAATCAGTTATACTGACTACAGGAATCTTATAATTTGCCTCAACATTCAGGAAAGAATGGCAAAAATCAGCCAGGATTTCCAATTCTGTCATGAAGTGTACATGTGTAGATGTTGGATGGAGGTAAGACTGGGATCAGCTGTCATGTAAATAAGTATCATTCAGGTTCACATGGCATAGCTAGGTAGGGTTGCCTGTATGTTTGGAATCATGTTGCAGTTTGGCTCGTCACTCAAAAAAGATGCACAGAAAATAGGCTAGAAGAAAAGAAAAGTATGGTAACTATATACTGTTTCAAATTGTGGCAAGGTCATTGAGATGACAGCTTATTAGTTCCTGACGATGACACATACTTCTCTCTCTCTATCCACAAAGGCAAAAGCATATCAAATATATTCCATACAAAAAATTTTGGATTTAAAAACTTGCATTCACTATTCCAAGAATGAATCACAGTAAAATAGGAGAATTAACAAATCACGCGTACGTTACACAGCAGAACCAGAACTGAAATCACCAAGTTTTCACTTCTTTAAAAATACCCAAATCTTCCAGCAACTTCCTGACCAAAGTCTTATGCTAGTTGTTTCCTTTCCCCACTCCTATTCACAGAGGAAGCAAATAAGTGGAATATAAATTTATCCTCTTCCCTTACACTCTCACATTCTAGTCTACTTTTATTAATCTGAAATTGTTCAAATTAAACTAACTTCATGAAACTGTAAAACACCATTAAAAATGATTAAAACACTAATTCCCAGTCAAAATGTACAAAGACAAATAAAATCTACCATTTAGTATCAACTCAATTGGGTTCTAAGGGAGCACAACCAGTAAATTTCCTGATCTAACCATGTCTTGTTGGAAAGAATAATTCAATTCACCAAGACATTCCAAACAAAAGGTATTTTTATATTATGGATTAGAGCTTCAGCAACCATTATACAATACAGTCTTGGACCATATATTTAGCAAGGTTCCCTCATAAATTGTTGGAGAGTGCAAATGAGAAAACAATTAATTTTACCCCCTTAAAAGCCCAATGACCTCTTTAATGCTGATAAAACTGCACCTAAGCAAAATGCAAGTTTTTTTTATTTTAAACGCACAAGGGCAAATGGAGAG